CAAGATAACTTTGAACTTCTAATCTTTCCACATCCACCGGTGGCCCAAGCGTTAAATTTTACCAAGAGGCTATGCTATAAGCCTTACCTACTGTTACCCAACCAGTGAAGAACAGAGCTCTTCCCAAAGCTAAGCTCCTCTCTGCTGCTTAATTTCTTTTACAGTCTTGGTTTTATACATTCGTATTGCATGTTCTCAGGTTGTTTTGTATAAGCCACCTCTTGTTTATTGGTAATGTGGAAAATCAAAGAATGCATATATGTGAACCTGAACTAGAACCTAACTACAGGCTGGGCATGGCGGCACACCCCTTTAATGCTATCACTCAGGAGGCAGGCAGTCTCTTGAACTGGAAGCCAGGCTGGTCTAGTGTCCAGGCCAGCCGGAACTCCATACTGAGACACTGGCTTAGTGAGGAAAGGAGACTGGATAGGTGATAAAAGGCCATTTTCACTTCTAAAATTTGGTCAATCAGTTTGAAATTCACTACTACTGGGCACCTAAGGTATTCTTTCACATTTTTTTCTAATTATTGTTTTTAGTTTATGTACATAGGTGTTTCTCTGCATATGTCTATACACCACATGCATTCCTGGTGCCCAAGAAGTCAGAAGAGGGCATCAGATCCCCTAGAGCTGGAGTTACAGACAGCTCTGGGCCAGCATGTGGGTGCTGGGAGTTGAACCAGGTCCCCTGCAAGAGCAGCAATTGCTCTTAACAGCTGAGCCATCTCTGCAGCCCTGATTTTTCACTTTTCAAGTGAACATTCTAATTGTGCTATTCTATGGATGTGCTAACATGCTGAAGCTGACCAAGATGTGATCAAGGCCCAGGAGCATAAAGTATGAGGTTCACTGAACCCCCAGAAAATGTCTTTTACCTCTGTTGCAGCATAAGAACCATCACAGAAGTGGCAAATTGGTGACCCTTGCCAAGGATGGGACCTTATCTACGGCTGTCTTCTCTGACCCAAAAATGCGAATGCCAACATTTAATTCTGATTTTAGCTTTTAAAATTTAAGATTTCTGATTCTACTTGAAAATGTGGGAGGTCTATGAATTCTATACCATTGCTACCCAATAAGTGAAAAATAATGGCCCCCCCATTTATCTTAACATTTGTGTTTACAAGTATGCATAGAACATTTTGCCCATCAGATACCGCAATACTGAGTAAGAGTTAGTGTACAGGCCTTCTTCACACTTCATCACTTCCAGCCCTTTCCCATCTAGCTCTGTTCTGTGCCTTGCATTTCCCATCAACCAACAAATCGATCTCTAAAATGGCAACTCCACTGGGAATCTCATGAAAAACTAATCTAAAACTAGCTCATTTCTAGAAAAACTGTTTCACTTTTAAAAATAAATTTTATGAAATGCTCTAACAGTTCCTTTACTTCTTTTTAGTCTGTAAACAATCAGAATTTTAACACCTCAGAAGCCAGCTAACTTGTATATAATATAATTTCACCCATTTGGGACGCTTATCCCCACCTCTTTTCCCAAAAAAAATCTCCGGAATGTCCACTCACAGGGACCACAAGAGGGAAAAACTTCGGGTTTAAATTTGACAGTCGAAGAACAAAGTCTTCAAAAACTACAGCCGCCACCTGGTTTCTCACATGCAGAATCTAGTGTGTCTAAGACACAAAACTAGGAAGAGTATTAGGAAAAGGGAGGAAGATGCAATGAGAAAGGAATCAGTAACAGTCCATGTGACATGCAAGTTGAAGGGGAACCAATTAAAACAAGCAAAAACAAAAGGTGGATCAGGACCTTTTGTTTGGTCCCTATGGGATGGCAGTATGCAAGACCAATAAGTACAAATGATGTATGTACATGAAGTTTTCATATGAAAACCCATTGCTTTTTATTCTCCCTTAAAATTGTCAGTATCACCACTAATTGTGATAAGAGATTCCTGAATTTCTAATTATGTTCCTTTTTCCTCTTGTTATTCCGAGAAACAAAACTGTTTTGCCAGGCGTGGTGGCCAACACCTTTAATCAGAAGGCAGAGGCAAGTAGATCTCTGTTAACTTGAAGCCAACCTGGTCTACAAAGTGAGTTCCAGGCCAGGGTTGTTAACACAGGGAAACCCAGTCTTGAAAAAAACAATAAATAGCCGGGCAGTGGTGGTGCACTTTTAATCCCAGCACTGGCAGAGCCAGGTGGATCTCTGAGTTCGAAAACTGTATCAAAAAACAAAAATTAAAAAAAAAAAAAAAATAGAACATTTTGCAAAACATTTCATGGCATATGAAGTAATGGGAAGTCAGATTTCCACCCTCCCCCCACTCCCCCAGATGGGGTTTTTCTGTTCTCCTGGACTTGCTCTATACACCAGGCTGGCCACAAACTCAGAGAGATCCATTTGCCTCTGCCTAGGCTTAAAGGCAGGTACTACCAGGCCCAGCTGGATAGTCAGATTTAAGATGTATTTATTTACTACTTATAGTAATACTCTCAGATATTTTCTTTTTTCAAGACAGTTTCTCTGTTGCTTTGGTGCCTGTCCTGGATCTCACTCTGTAGACCAGGCTGGCCTCAAACTCAGAGATCCACCAGCCTCGGCCTCCTGAGTGCTAGGATTAAAGGTGTGCCACCACCGCCAGGCCAGAATTATTTTTTTGGCCAATGAGGTGACACAGGAAGGTGCTCATTGTCAACCATGCTTGACAGCTGGAGTTCGGTTCCACATGGTAGAAGAAAACCAACTATATTGTGGACACTAACAAGCATTCCCTGCCGCCACCCCCCCACATACCCATGTGCACACTTAAAATATCTTTGCAAGTGACCACGACACATGTGGAGGTCAGAAACAACTTTCTCAGTTCATTCTGGAAACTGAACTTAGATCATTAGGCTTAGGCAGCAAGTGTTATTACCTGATGAACAATCTCCCCAGCATTCATTTTTTCTTTTATAAACCAAATAACTGCTTTTAGTCTTTGGCTGAGATAGGCTTCAAAATTTACACATTTGACTATATTCAAATAAATCTGTGTATTAAAAGAGGATGTCAGGGCTGGAGAGATGGCTCAGAGGTTAAGAGCACTGGCTGCTCTTCCAGAGGTACAAAGTTCAATTCCCAGCAACCACATGGTGGCTCACAACTACCTATAATGAGATCTGGTATCCTCTTCTGGTGTACAGACAGAACATTGTATACAACAACAAACCTAAAAAACAATTAAAATAAGGATACCAAAGGAAACACACACACACAAAAAAAAAAAAAAAAATTAAGGGCAATGAGACAACAAAAGGTCACAGCAAAGAAAACACCCTGAAGTGTTTTTTTTTAAAAAGTAAAGTTCTCAAAATTATACATGAAACGTAACAAAGACTATGAAATTTGAGAACTATATATTGATGGACAGAACAGGTACTACACAGCTGTTGCTATGACATACTACACTACTTAGAACAGTTTTTCCAGGCTTCATATTGAGTTAACAAAGCCCGAGAGCAGCTTCTAACATTTGGGGGGTGAGACTAAGTAAATGCCATCTAAAGTTAATCCAGGGGTATAGCACTTAACATGCCTAAGGCCCTGGTTCAATCTCCAGCACTGCCAAAAGCCAAAAAAAAAAAAAAAAAGTTTAGATTATTCTAAGTAGCAAATTCTATGTATTTATACCTTTTAGCCCAGCTATTCCTTAAAGGATTTTTTTTTCACACTAAAAATAGCCACAGCAGCCGGGTGGTGGTGGCGGCGGCGGTGGCGGCGCACGCCTTTAATCCCAGCACTGGGGAGGAAGAGGCAGGTGGATCTCCGTGAGTTCGAGGCCAGCCTGGGCTACAGACTGAGTTCCAGGAAAGGCAGGGCTACACAGAGAGACCGTCTCAAAAAACAAAACAAAAAAAAAAATAGCCACAGCTATGTTCTTAAAGTGGGACAGGGAGCTACGATAGTGAAAACAGTACTTGTTAAGAGGGAAAAACTTGAGCGAACTAGTTAAATTACAGCCTATTCAATGGAAGGGTATGCAGACATTAATTTTAAAAAAAAGGGGGGGGGGGGCTGGAGAAATGGCTCAGCAGTTAAGGGCACTGACTGCTCTTCCAGAGGATCTGAGTTCAATTCCCAGCACCCACATGGCAGCTCACAACTATCTGTAACTCCAAGATCTGCCACCCTCACATAGACAGACATGCAGGCAAAACACCAATGCACATACAAAACAGCTGCTGTGAGAACTCTTCTCACTTGTATAATATTGATAACACCATACAGAGGTGTATACACACATACATACACCATTATATCACATTCTTGATTGTTCCTAGGATTATTAGTCTTGAGAACCTAAAGCTGAAAAGGAATGTAATCATGCTTACTATAATCCTTACACTTTGTACCACAGAAGTATTTTCTTTTCAGGGTATCTCCCTATATACACAACCAGGGCAGGCCCTAACTCCCAATCCTCCTGCCTCATACCTTGCCACACTAGGATTACATATACCTGTGACCACCACACCCAGTCTGGTATGACCTACTTTTAACATCTTTACACTTGCAAGTAGTAGCTGGCCCAGGACAGAGCCTTCTTCCCATGCTCATTCAAATCATTTCATAACTTGCTTTCAGGACTTTAAATTTTGGTACAAGCTAAGATACCTATCCACCTCAAATCCACACTAACATTCAAACAATCAAAATAACTAAAACCCCACCTCAGTATCTAATACATTATCCAAAATATTTTAATATACTAAATCACCCAACACCTGAAGTTAAGAACACACACATTTGAATGGATAATTTTTGTACTTGTAATTAGCACAATCACTCAACTGTTTGAAAGCTTTATATCCCTAACACTTAGCTTTAACCTGCTGCTAATAATTATGCCCTAACTTATGTTCATTAAAAGAAAAATCAGAGAAACTAATGAAATCAGCAAAAAAGATCAAAAGCTTAACTGCAGAAAACGAACTGACAGGGCCCCAATTGTTTAACAGAAAATTAATATATGAATACAAACACAATGCAAGTAATATACATTATTTTATTACAAATTTTTTTAAAAAACAAAATGCAACATCCTAAAAAAAATTTACTGGTAATACAAATTCCTATTAAGTTTGCTGTGCTACTATAAGAAATTAAAGAAACCATTAAATATTTAGGAACATTCAACATCAAAAGCTTTAAATCTAACTGTACGTTGTAGCCCCTGAAAAAGCTACAAACTCTTTTTTTAAAAAAAGTATTTTCTCTACAAAGAATCTCATCAGCTATACAAAAATCTGTACAGTTTTTATACTGAAGCTAATGTTGAGCTGCACTTGAATTTCACATTCTTAGCAAAATAATTGCCTGAGCACATACACGCCACACATTTTAGGACAGCCATTTATTCTTCATCCTCCTCCTCCTCATCATCATCTTCGTCTTCCTCCTCCTCCTCTTCTTCCTCATCTTCTGGTTCATTCTTCTTCTTTGAGCCTGTTGGCCTACCAGGACCCTTCTTTCCTACTTCACTTTTACCCTTGGCACGGTATGCAGCAATATCCTGAAATATTGTCAAAGATAGATCAGCATCCGGTGTCACTGGTCAAGTGTGAAAAACCACTGAAATGTAAACAACCTAAAACTGACCAATAACCTTATTAGCTGGGAATGCGACCACCACAGATTTGAAAGCATTTGTTCCTTTTAATCAGATAAAAGGCGAGCTGCCTTACTTAGATCAGTGTGAGTGCTTTTGCTGACAATGCCCATCTATTTTGTAAGATCACCCCTTCCCATCCCACCTTACATTTTTAGACACAACTACCTAACTAAAATATAGTTGGCACTCTAAAACAGATTTACACAACTTTGAGTGGATACGCAAAATTTACAAGGGCTGTAAAGACTAAATCAAAACAAAGTTTATCTTGTCTGTAGTGCTAAAGTTTCACAACTGACAACCAGTTTCTGCAGCTCATGTACACCCGTAAGTTTTTAAAGGTCAAAAGGCACTATACCTTTTCATACTTCTCCTTTAGTTTAGCTGCTCTCTGCTCATAGGGTTGTTTATCTTTGGCAGACTGTTCAGACCACATCTCACCCAATTTTTTTGCAGTATCTCCAATAGACAGGCCTGGGTGTTCACTTTTGATCTTTGGGCGATGTTCAGAGCAAAACAGGAAGAAGGCAGACCTGAAAGGAAGCAATAGAGTTAACAAATGGAGAAGGGAGGAAAGGCGAGAGACGGTTTGCTTAGTTTTGAGATCAACTTACGGCGGTCTTTTTGGAGCATTAGGATCCTTTTTCTTTCCTTTCTTATCACCTTTGGGAGGAACATAATTCTTCATCTCCCTGTCATAACGAGCTTTGTCGCTCTTGGCCAAATCCTCGAACTTCGACTTTTCCTTTGCAGACATGGTCTGGGGGAGAGAAACCCGAGTAAACCGGCACATTTTTAAGCTCTTGGCCATATATATTGGTATATAAAGCCAATAAAAGGGGCAAAACTTGACGCTCTTGGCGGTCCCAGACACACAAATAAACAAGAAGCAAGCGACAAGCTCAGCACCATTTCCAGCTCTTAGCCGTCCCACCCCAACAAATACATTTTCACGGACGGAGGGGGGGGGGGAGGCTGCACTTTGGCAGTCTTTACATTACCTAAACTCGGTCACCAGGCTAGGGAAGCCCGCACTTCCTGGTTTGCCCGCCCGCCCCAGCCCCCCCCCCAGGAGTGGGGGGGGGAGGGATAAGAGCCTCGGCTGGGTGGGAATCCCGCTCGCCCACCCACCCACCCACCCACCCACCCGCTCGCCCGCCCTCCCTCCCTCCCTCCCTCCCCGCGGCTCACCTTCCATCTCTCGGAGCACTTCTTGGAGAACTCGGCGAAGTTGACCGACGAGTCCGGGTGCTTCTTCTTGTGCTCTTCCCAGCACGTCTGCACGAAGAAGGCGTACGAGGACATCTTGCCCCGCGGCTTGTTGGGGTCTCCCTTGCCCATGCTGACGGCGCGGCGGCGGCGGCGGCGGCGAACCTGCCGCGGGGGGAGAGAGAGAAAAAGCCGTGGCGTGGCGGCGCGGGCCCGCGGCGATGCTGGTGGGGGTGGGAGGTTAAGTCCGCCCGTGGGGAAGGAGGGGCGGTGGAGGGGGTTG